CCTTAACAGGATTTGAGTCAAATGTGTGCTTTCCTACAGGCTTCAGCTGGCTTTGGATCAGGCTGTGCAAGTGCTCAAAATGGAGATATATTTTTGAAAGAAAAATGCAAAAATCAGCTCATGCAGAGTTGATTTTCAGACAGTGTCTTGCTTTACCGGATAGACAGCTTACTGTGTGTTTGATGCTGGAGAAGTCATGTCTCCACTTTCTTGATTAATAAAGTGAGAATTATACCAGTTACCTTTCCAGAAGCCCTCTAAAGCTTGCATAATGCTCACTAGAGTGCTGTGATGAAAAATGTGTGTTTATAAACATTCCTATTACCTGTGATTCAATAGAAAGTATATGATGAAATTATATAGTATGTTTTTAACTCATCAGTGACTCAGACATGATGGTGGTCACGGTGTGTAGTTCGTTGTGGGTGGTTTTTTTTAGTGGTATCTGCATGGGTAGGACTGGTTTATTATTTCCATGTGTCAACTTGGTATACCTGATATTTAGACTGAGTTGCTGTCTCTGTATGCGCATGTTTCTGCATAAGGCTAGGGATGAGACTGATTACTGTGGTACGAATGCCATGGATGAAGCTTGTGAGGGACTAGTTCTCTGTTCTGAGGTCATCTCCAAATCTGCAGTTACCATCCTCAGTCATGGCTCTGCTACCAAGAGAATTCACCCAACTGCATTGTTCATGCTATGGAATAGTCCCTCAGGAAAAGCTGTTGGAGACTCTCAGACATCTTCAGAAATGCATTGCTCTGAAAAGAGAGAAGAGAAGATACAGTGTTGGAAGGAGTTATCTATCTGAGCTGTGCATACCAGAACAGACATATATTAAGCGTCTAGTTCAGAAGAGCATCCACAATGCTGGCTCTGTATACCATCAAACCAAACACCATAGGCTACAACACCATCCTTTATGCTGCGTTTTATAGTTGGGACCTGTAATAAAAGATTAAAAGCTGGTTTCTCTCGCCTTGACACAGGTATAGGTCAGGAGCAGTTCTGCTGGCCTTACTAGGACATCAGAAGAGACTGCAAGATATCTGTTAGCAATAGTCAAATTTGATTTTATGCGGAAGGAGAGTGTGTGCTACTGTACCACAGATGTCAAGGGGTTATGATCCAATCTATAACCAATACCACAACATTGTTCACAGTGTTTCATCTCTGAAGTAACGCTCCCAAGACCAATTGAGATAATGAAAATGGGAACGTTTCTCATCATCAAATGAAAATTGTCATGGAAGTGAGAAGTGGTGGCTGGCAAGCCAAGTTACATTCTCAGTGCTTTAAAAATCAGATTTTGTGCACCATCTTTGTTGTAGAGGTTTACTGATGAGTTTTCCTTTTGCTAATGCTGTCATTTTGAAGCAATCGTCTTGCTTTCTAAGTCCAACACAACAAAGTTTTAATTGGCACTATGTGGTCTGGGTTGGAATGGCAAACCTTTCATCACTGATGGTTGATTCAAACACAGTGCAGCAATATGTTGGAAGTCTAATGGTGAATGAGTTCCTGCAATGGCTTAGTGATTCAGTCCAAAGCAGAGGAGTGGCCATCCTACCATTAACCACTGCCACTTTATTGCCTAAGCAGTAAAGATGCTTTTAGAGCCCACAGACTCTGGCTAGAGTTTTCCCATTAGCTTTAGCCTCTGAAGGATCCAAACCTAAAGTGTCTGTGTTTAATCTCTGCTGAAAATCAGGTGAGCCTGTTCTTTTGTCTCTTATGAGTAAAGTGAAATCTTCTTTATTCCAGGGTAGTAATGGTGATGCTGTTTGTAACTTGTTTAGAAAAGCCTGACCTAGCTGGTTGCTTGAGTCAGGGGAGTAGGGGCAGCTGTGCAGGAAAGCACTCAGTTTCAGAAGTGAAAGACTCTCAAAATCCTTGTTTCTTTCTTTGTTAATTTCTGTTAGCTTTTGTGTAAAGGGTTAATTAGGTAGCAAATACTCTCAGGAAGAAGCAGGATGCAAAAAAATACTTCAGGGGCCTGATTCACCACAGCATTTCTGTGAAATTCAGGTCATACACTTTTCTGTTTTGTATTCTTGCATGTGAAAATGTGTGAGAAAGCAAGTCTGTCCATCCCCTGGCTTTGCACAGCCTTTAGTCACATTTTAAGAGAGAAAAAAAATCAGCTCTTGGCAGAGCTAAGTCTCTAAAAGACGTTAAATGTGAGTTTGACTTCTACAGTCCAGCTTTGCAAAGATAGTATGTAGTTTTGTGTTGTGTAAAGTGATAGAAAGATGAAAGAGGAAGAGCCTTGGATTTTATTGCAAGATGATGAACAGAAGACTCTCCAGACAGGAAATGATTAGGACATTCTTGTTTTTTCCGATTCTACCTTGGTGGCTTAAAGACCAGTTTCGTCTGGTTGCAGAGTAGTGTAATCTTTTGGATTAGTCTTTGGGTTGAATTTGATCATGATATATGTGTGCTTCCACACACAATTTCAACATGTAACTCATGTTATGCAAAAGACTTGAGATAATGAGTTGTTTTTGAATGTTTTGGTTGCTTTTTCTCTGCTTTAATTGGTTTTATGCAGACTTAGTAAATATACGGAGAGGAGTGGGAAA